ATTAATAAGCAGCCATTTTCTTAAAAACCAGAGTTTTCTTTTGAATCAAGAGGGTCTTTTCATAACATGAAGGATTTTTTTTTATCATCTCCTGAATTAAAAAACAGAAACACACATCATAAATATTTTAACAATTTATTTTGCCAGCTGTATTAAATACTGACTGAAAAAAATGTGTATTTCTCCTACATGAAACATAACAGAAATTTAATAGGTTGCTGAATGAAGAAAATAGATTAAAAGAATAAAAATGATTTTTAGATGCAAAACTATTAATAATTTATTATATTTAGAATTTATTTGCATTTAACATTTATAATTTTTCTCTAATTCTTTACTTTTTGCTTCATTCTTGATGGTTCTGTTTGACTAAAACATTGTTCGACCCAGTAAAATCAGTTCTGAAGCAGCCCCCCCCCTCCTCTCCCTGCAGACCTGCAGCTCAATCGCGTCTATTTATTTTTATTCCTTCATCCTGAAACTTTTGCTGCTCAACAAATAAATTGGGGCCTCAGTCATAAAAAACTGGAGTGTTTTTATACTTTTGGCCCGAGAGGAGAAGGAAACAAACGGTGGATTTAGGTGCCCCCCTCCCCCCACTCGCACATGTTTCCTCCACACGACGCGGCTCTCATCAAATCAGACAGTCTTTTAAAAAAATTAAATGTGACGTATAATTTTTTTATCATATCTTCAGATCTACTTAGCCTAACAGCACAATTTAAAAACTGGTTTAAAGTTCGAAGTCTCTACTTTTCACTTGAGAGTCAGAGAGGGCAGATCTTTACTGGTAGAGTTTTTTTCTTCCTAAACTTTATTCAGGTCAGCCAGCATTGACACCGCTCTGTGGGTGATGTAAACGGCTCCGTGACACGGCGAGGGACGCATAAATGTGACACAACGAATCGATAATGAAATTTGTTGCCATCGCTTTTTAATGATCGATTTTTATCGATTTTATCAATTCGTCGTTGCAGCCCTAAAACAGTGTTGATTGTCGTTGTTAAATCTGTTTGTCCACCATGTGGAGGCGGAGCTTATAAGGCTGCATTCACTTGAAACTCCTCAGACTGAAGAAGTCTCTTGGAGGAGAGATGAAACGTAYCATTAAAGAACCCGTCCAGAGGACCTAACTAACCATTTTTGTGTATTTTTCTACCTGGATCAGTGAAATGCATTAGATATTTTATCGTTTCAACACCATTCTTCATTTTAATTTATAACATCCTAGTCATTTTAGTTGTGACTTGTCTTTTCTTTTCGTACCGACTGACTTATTTGTTGTTTTACATTTGTGATGTGTTTGTGTTTTCCAGGGACATCACTAACATTAAGGGTACGATTGTGGCCCAGGTTGACTCTAGTGAGTCTTTCCAGGAGTTTTGCACCACTGGTTGTTTAGGTGCATATGAGAACAAGCAAAACCCTCCCAAATCAAACCTGAAAACCAAATGCACCGTCTGCGGCAAGCTCACAGAGGTGAGTTTGTCCATCACCTCTAAACTACACATCTCCTTTTCTTGACCTAGTCTTATGACTCTGACCCACGTAAAATAAAAACCCAGTGACAAAATACCTCCTGCTGTGTCTCTTCAACAAGACAAAAAGCAGCATTGTACAAATTACAATAAAGATGTGAATCTTCAGGGCAGAACTGGATGTGTGTGATGTATTCATGAAAGGATTAAAAGAATATAAGCATTCCAGTGTTTGCGAAAAATAAACGAGAAACGCAATTTAGAAGCCCAAAAATTTTTTTAACTGTTCTCTCTGTTACTCTGTTACTCTTTTTTTTTTTATGTCCGCAGATCCGGCATGAGGTTAGCTTTAAGACGGTAACCCACAAGATCTGCAGCGATACGTGCTTTAACGTTTACCGCAGGGCCAACGGGCTGATCATAAACTGCTGTGAGCAATGTGGCGACTATCTGCCGAACCGGGCTACCGCCAACCACTTCCTGTTGGTTGATGGTCAACAGAAACGCTTCTGCTGCCAGAACTGCATCAAGGATTACAGACAGGTAATCCAGACCACAAGTGTGTTTAAAGTGTTTTGCTAGTAGTCTGTGGTTTATTTCGTCACGCAGTGCGTACTTTAATCAAATTTGTGTCGTAGTTTCTGCTTTTTAGATTCAGCTACAGCAGGCATTGTCAGTCATGGTCCTTGAGGACTGCAGCCCTGCATGTTTTACTTGTTTCTCTGCTCCAACACACCTGATATGAATAGATGATTATCAGGCTTCTGCAGTACGGAGGACCAAAACTGACATAATTAGAAATAAAAGCAAAATTATATGAACCACTGAAGAAATACACTTAAAATGCACCAATTAAATTAAAAAAACTTTATCTCCTGTTTTATATTTTAATTGACTTTCATGTTTATTTTTCCAGGTTAGTTCCAACAAA